GGCCTGCCCTCAGGAAGCTTTGGTTCTATGAGAGTATAGACACAAATCCCAAGAGTTGTAATGTTGGTGAGGTAGAAGGTCACATATGCAGATAGCGGGCTGTTGGGATATGGTGGAAGGAGAGCCCAGTGCTCTAGAAGAAGCAGTGGAGAGCTGGTATATGAGCCAGGCACCTGAATTGAGAGCCCCAACCCTCTGCCACACTACTGTGACCTGGGGACTTGGGCAGTGCTCTAGGAGTATGAACAAAGTCCATAGTAGGGCTGGACATGGGGATGCAGGGACTGAGCAATTTCCTGCTCATGTGCATGGACTCAGATAGACATCGTCCCCAAGATGCATTTGTAAGTCTTCTCAGATTCCTCCTGGATTTTGGACAAGACTTCCAGCCAAGAGTCTTTGTTGAGCACCTCTTCGGAATCTTGCTCCTGGGTCATATGTCTTTCCCGGACTTCTTGGCACAGAACCTTCTGCTGGGAGTATTAGTAAGCCCTGTTGCTGTAACAGTGACCTTCATTTTCCCACTGGATCCATTCAACCTTATTCATGAGGTCCTGCAGCTGGGCCTCCTTCTCCACCCACTTCGCCCTGTTGTTGAAGCCACAGTGGCGCCGCTCACAGAGCACATCCAGCTTGGCAAGGCTCTGGTTGTCAGTCTCTCTCATGTATTTATCCAAGGGTTCATCAGCTAGATCTTCCTTCCGGGTAAACACTAAGATGGTGTAAGCCAGGATCCCCTCTCCAAAGATCTCCTGGAGACGCTTGACAGCCTGTTGATCCTGTTCTGTAAAGCGGCCCATCTGTGTCACCAGAAGCACTGCGTGAGGCCCTGGGGAGGAGAAGGCTATGACTTGGCAGATCTCCTTAGCCGCTATTTCTGACTGGACCTGAGAGGACAGAATATCTGGAGTGTCAATCACCTCAAGTTCCTTTCCATCCCACTCTCGCCTCCCTTTCTGGAAAGCCATGGTCACTGGTTTAGCACTGAGTTTAGACTCAAATACTTCCCTGCCAAGGATGGTGTTTCCTGTTGCACTTTTCCCACTTCCTGTTTTCCCCACCAGAATGAGCCTCAGTCTCCTTGGGGTGAGTTCTTTCTCTGTCAGACCTGGAAACATCAAAAAAAAAAAAGCAGGGGGAACTGGTATTAGAACCCAAACCACTCCACTTATCAGATGCTATGCTCCTGGGTGTGCTCCATTATCTTAGGGGCTCCATTACCCTGAGACCTCTCATGGGTTCACATTCTTAGTCTACATCCTTTAAAGTGGGGCTGAGCAGTCATACCCAGAGGAATATCAGCCATCACTGAGAGAGGAGATTTGGAGATGCCAAACAGACTCTGGAAACCTAAGGCCAAAACTTTTAGATATTCCTGTGGCTGCACAGCAGATGCCAAAACCCAGAACAGATAAAGAAATGATAAATAATAGTTGGTTTCCAAATCTGGTTCCCATTGAGGACACTGAAGGTTTCACAGAATGCTGAGTCTCCCAAAGTTCAGTGGGCACTTGTCTTTTCGTAACCTCCTTAGCACTGACCAGTTTGTTGTTGTTGTTGTTATTGTTGTTGTTGTTTTGGTACTGGTGATAGAACTCAGGTCCTTGTGCTTGTGAGGCAGGCATG